GGGGGAATAGACACTGGGGTGACTGTCGGCTGTGACCTTCTCTTATGTGTTCCCCCACCCCTGAAACAAGGGATATGCATGGGTGACGAATGAGAAGAAAGCTTCCAGGGGAGTAGGAAATAGAGTACCTAGAACTGAAAGAGGCCTGAGAGTGGTTTACATATCCTTCTCATTCATTTACAAACATGCACTGTGCACCTACTTTATACCAGGATCTGCCAAGACTCCGAGATATCGTACAGTGTGTGTTATGCTAGTTAGCTTCTGTCTAATGGGTAACAAACCACCCCCAATTTAAACAACAGCCACGATTGATCTCATGCTTGTCAAAGGGGCTTCTATCAGGTTGGCTTGGCAAGGCTCTTGACTCACTCACGCGTCTGTGGTCTGCGGATGACTAATCTGATTTTCTCCTCTGCCTGCAAAGAATGCGACCTGCAGTTGTCTGTAGGAATTGACATCTCAACTTCCGGAAGGCATGTTCAGCAGACGCTTGCAGGGTTCCTGCCAGAACTGATCCCACAGTTGACTTCGCTTTCCAACATCAGCTGCAGCGGTCCCGGTCCGATCAGCAAGAGGTTCCGCTACTTGGTTCCTGGACCAAACGGGCAGATTCTCTTCGATTCCCACTCCGTGAGTTCCAGCGACACGATCACTCAGCTGTTCTTGGCTGCCAGGAACAGCCGTATGGATGCGCATTTTTTGCAGTCCCTGGGAGAGGCTACTCGCCTGGCCGCTGCGAAAGTAAAGGTAATAAAAGAAACGATGAGCACCCACCCTAGGGCTACACCGTGCGGAGTGGGCAGGATAGGCCTTCGTGACTGCTCCTTCCCGGAGACCCGATCTAGAGGAATGCCATGCCTCACTCAGTAAGAATAGAAAAGAACAAAGTCTTCATTCAAACCACCTTTCCCAACAGCTCATGGCTCCCTCAACGTGGCCCACCCCTCTGCTGCCCCTGACCTTGACACCCACAATGTTCCAGAGGGATGAGAAAGTCTCACGCGGACATTGGCTATCAAGTGACTCCCCCAAACTGGATACACATTGCATTTTCCTCCAATCATTCTTCCAAAGAATATTAGTTCCCGAAGAACAAAGTTTACTTTTAAAAGTTGTTTTCTGTGAATGAAAGTGACACATTTTAACTGTAGAGAAAACATATGAAAAACATATGACAGAAAATACCAATAACCTTCCCCCATCTCTCTACACACACATGCATGAACATATATTCACACACACAAACACACACACACACACACACACACACACACACACACACTCAAAAAGCCTTGCTACGGTTGTGATGTTTTTGCTCTGAGAAAGATGGGCACTGTAAGACACATTTTGGAAGGTCGAACAGGTTAAGCTGGTCCACATAAATAGAAACGATAAGGACCGATCAAACAGGAAGAGGGTGAAACACGGGGCATGATCAGAAGAGCTCACCCTTGCCTCTTTTAAGAAACGTGCAATTGATACCATCCTTCTCTGTTGTCCCCCCCACCCCACCCCCCGAAACCACAGGTCCTTTTAGTATTCACAGATGGCCTGGATGACAGTGTAGAGAGACTGAAGGAACAATCCAGACTCCTTCGCACCACAGGTGAGTGTGCTGGGTCATCCTGGAGGAGAGGGAGTGGTGGCGTGGGGAGTAGGTGGGGTGGGGGGGCCTGGGTTTCTCCCTCAGGGTCCTTGGAAGGTTCCTGGGTGGCTCTGGGGTCTGTGAGGCACTCTGCAGGCTGACTTAGGTGGTTGGACTCAGTGCCCAAGAGGTCAATGTCCTCACCCCAGACATGGCCAGTCACCAGCCAGGCGCCTGCTCTGCCAAAGCACCTTGGTGGGGAGCAGTGCCACTTGCTTCTTCAGGCTGTCTGGGAGTCCCTCGAGGGGCGGGTAGGGGGGTAGGGGTCTGCAGGGTAGTGATGTGTGCAAATTGTTAACAGCCTTGGCTGCTAACTGGACAGTTAGAGCTTCAGGTCTGCTTATTTCCCCCCTCAGCCAAAGACCACTCGGATCTTTATAACGTCATTTTGAGGGCCGTGCGCGGGTTTCGACTTTAATTTTTAAGTTGAAAATGTTTTGTGGCTTGAGACTTTTCTATGGTCTGCCGTGCTTGGTCAACCTTGTGTACGGCCCGCTCTATTTGGTCAATCGTTTAATGAACGCACACTGAATATAAGGGCTGGAATTGCTTCTCTTTGGTGAGGCGAGCCATGCTAGCTAGCTGCTGCTGTTGATGCTTTTACCAATGTATTAGGCCCACAGGCCGGCTGT